AGGGTTTGAGAGAAACGGACAGCAGAGTCCAAAATACATCAAATAAACTTCCCGTGCGTTTCCTAGGAAACACATTTCAAAGATTCTGTTCGATCGTCGTTAATTCAAACCGGCTTCAACAGAACACAAAGTGAAGCTGGAGCCAGTTTCTGCACCGTGTTTTTGACCCTGATGTGTGATCAGTGAGGGGACGCTCTCTCAGGCGGTGATTTTAGTTTTCCAACATCTTTGAGAAGTCTTAAAGTAAGGCCTGAACGTCTGAAGGCTCAGATCTGCTTCAGTGATGTCTCTCACTGTCATGTTCTGTGTTTTTAACGGAGCGGTAAACCTTCAGGAGCGTCAGCATGTCTGCACAGTTTGCTTTTATTCTTCAGCTATAATGAACACACAGGAATTTGTCTTGGAGGCAGAGTGCAGTGAAATATTAATGCTCTGAAACAATCATACTGATATAAAGTACATGAGCACAGGGGGGGGGTTAGAGATCCAGCATTCACTCCATCAGCTTCTTTATTAAAGCGGCGCTCTGCACAAAGCAGATCTCTCTAAAACACAGTAGTAGTAGTAGTAGTAGTTATTAAAACAGCACATGAAGCACAAACAGTAATAACATCAGTGTGGTCGGTCGGAGCTGTGATGTAACATCAGGGTTTGCTGGAGCACTTCCTGGTGTGTTGCCATGACTCCATCACCACTCGGAGTCAGAGGGAGCGGAGGGAGATGTGACTTTACTCGAGTCTGCCACATCTGTTATCTGCACTGAACTTGAAGGCTGTATGCTTTGACATGTGACCTTTACACACGGAGAAGCATGTAGTTATTTATATTTGGGTTGTTGGTGTCAAAGCGCTCAGCCGACATGATAACGGTTAAAGTATAAATCAGTAGGCTGTGTTACGACAGACGAGAGCACAGCACATTCATGCGTTGCTGCTGTTGGCGCCTTCAGCGGGGGGGAGAGAGATCCCGGGGCGGTCCGAGTGGTGGGTTGTGTTCCTGTGGGTTAACATCAGCTGGAAGCACAAATCCAATCGATGCACGCACGCACATCAGGTAAAATACCTTTAATCATCGTGTGGCATCGTTAATCTGCTGCTTCTATAGGACGCATAAAGACTGAGCGGCAGATCATGTCTGTCGTTTTCACTTTCCTAAGAAGTCAAATCCACTTTAAACAGAAACCAGCTGGAGGGTTAAAGCTCAGAGTTCATCATGATGTAATGTAGAAATCAAAGATGTGTGTTTATGATTTAAATTGAGTGGATATAAGAGTCACATTTATTACAATCAAGTTCATTTTTATAGACTTAAAAAACAACTAAAATGTTATTTCATCATTTTATCACTGAATTAATTCAGACTTCTTTCCGTGTATTGATATGATAGCAATAGCAATTTTATTTCTATAGCACATTTCATGACAGATGAGCTCAATGTGCTTTACATTGAGGTTAAAAACAAAATCAAAACACAGCATACAAAATAAAGAAAGTGTTTCCACAGTCATTAATAATTCATACACACGACAAAGCAAACATGAGTTACCACAAAAGTGATCATACACACACACACACACAAAAATAACTATTCATATGCTTTCGAGAACAGATTTTGAGTTTAAAAGTAGAAACAGTAGTAATGGACCTCAGTCAGCAGGTCACAGTTAGTCCTCCAGAGTCTGCGATAAGAGCCGCGTCCCTACCAACCAACTGCCCGCCTGCCTTTCTAAGTATCTGTTTGCTCTTCACAGCGGCGATCCAATCGACGGATAGCAGACCGTTGCTCTTTACCAATCAGAATCAAGTATTTCACACAGCTGTGTAAACATAGCACCTGGTGGTGTTTGAGCTCTCTACATCTGTTTTCTTCTTCTTCTCTGTGAACCTAAAGGAAGTGTTTGGACTACTCCTCAGTCTACTACAGAACACCGAGCTGACAAACTCTCGACTCAGAGACACTCGACCGACCTGAAGGAGAGAGAGAGAAGTGAGGAGTGTGATGCTGAAGCTCTCTCTAAAGAGCTCCAAGGCATTCCTCAGCTCTGGAGTGAGATAAGAATAGCCCTCGCTTGTCTTCCCTCTATTGGTCAGCTGGTGTGGCTGTGGGCTGGTGAGGCGAGCTGCTTCGGTTCCAGCAGCAACACTACAGACGTACAGAACGGCGAGGAGAGAGAGAGGAGCCCGGGGCCCTCTGGGTGCAGCCCAGCAGCCCAGCAGCCCAGCAGCCAGCCCAGCAGCCTGGCCTTGAATATATTTGGCTCTTGTCAGTTTGCCTACAGATCTGCAGTGGTCTGCTATTAGGCTGCTTCCTGTTTCAACACAGGATGAGGCTGTGAAGCTGTAGATCTGAGGGAGCATGGGAGTATCCAGGCCGTCTGTAGGAGACGACTCTGAATGACACAGAGCGGATAATGCTCAGCAGAGAGAAGGTAGCTTTGCATAAAACAGAGAGTGAAAACGATGTGTTTGTCATACATCTACCTGAACCCGACATGCAGGGAAAGAACATACAGGATATCTCGATCTATAAATGATACTCTTACTAAGGATGGGGATCTTTGGGTGTCAAATGATTCGATTTTGATTTTGATTCTTGGGCTAACGATTCAATTCAGAATCTATTTTCAATCCAAACGATTCTGGATTCATGAATCAAAGTCTGTTTTGGAATTAGTCCATACTTCATGGAGTTAGATCAGTCTCACAAATGCACACAGAAGGATTCACAGATGTATTTCAATGCGCACACAAATATTTATAGTTTATATGTAATAGAAATCCACAAATAGACAACGTACATATATATTTAAAAAACACATTTGTATCTTGTTACATATATACAACTGTTGTTTATTGTAACAAGATACAAATGTGTTTTTTAAATATATATGTATATTGTATATTTGTGTGTGCATTGAAATACATCTGTGAATCCTTCTGTGTGCATTTGTGAATATTGAGACTGATCTAACTCTACTTCAGTCATCTCTGTGAGACTGAGCTGAATGTCTCGCTGCTCCATTTGGTATCCTGCTGAGAGTACAGCTTTAGCTTTAGCACTTAGCAGGGAGGGACTGATTAGCAAAACAAAAAAAAAAAGTATATTTTTGAAAGTTACAAATCTTTTTAAAAGAATCTCAGTTTTTACACTGTGAGACTGAGCTGAATGTCTCGCTGCTCCATTTGGTATCCTGCTGAGAGTACAGCTTTAGCTTTAGCACTTAGCAGGGAGGGACTGATTAGCAAAACAAAAAAAAAAAGTATATTTTTGAAAGTTACAAATCTTTTTAAAAGAATCTCAGTTTTTACATATATTGATTTTTTTCCCACCTTATCAGTCAAAGCACTGCGGTACATTTTCTTTAAAGGGGCGGTTGTGGCTCAGTTGGTAGAGTCGGTCGGAGGTTTGATTCCCGGCTTCTGCAGCCACATGTCCGATGAGTCCTTGGGCAAGACACTTGTTTCTCCCGCTGCTTCGTCTGCAGCGTATAAATGTGTGTGAATGGATGAGTTAATGCTGACTCTTTCACCAGCAGCCTCTGAATGTGTCTGAAGACTAAGAGAGCTATTCAACCTCAAGTCTGTTATCCATTCTGTCCTTCACTCTCTACTCTCAATATTGAAACCTTTTCCTGATAACTGCAACAAAAATACACGTCTTTGGGGCGCTGGTGGCGCAGTGGTTAGTGCGTGCGCCCCATGAATGGCGGCCCGGGTTCGAATCCGGCCTGTGGTTCCTTTCCTGCATGTCATTCCTCTCTCTCTCTCTCTCCTGATTTCAAACTCTATCCACTTTCCTGTCTCTCCATTAAAGACCCAAAAAGCCCAAAAAATAAATATTAAAAACAAATGCACGTCTTAGACAACCACCATCAGATTATTTCTTGTTTGATAAGAAAAAAACAAGCAGGCAAACTTCTGCTCAGTGTCTGAATTTGCACAAATGCATTGGTAATATTTCAATACCAAAACATTGCCAACCCAGTTGTGCAACTAAGACAGTGCTCCACTGCTTTGGCCATAAATATGACTGAAGATTTGTAGTTTTTTGAGGTTTCAGTACTTTCCCAGACGGGAATAAACTTAATAGGATTGTTTATTTTTTTTTCATTTTGACAAACCCTCAGCTCAGTCGTCAGCAGGTTAAGATCGGCCGAGGCAGAGACCAGATCCCCGTGCTGATACTGACCGGGTACAGCCCCTCCCTGTCTCACACAAAGCACTGGAAAAATATGCGTCAGCGCACTTCCTCCTTCTCCCTTCACATTTGAACTTCCTGTTCTCCGGGCTGGTCGGAAGTGAGATGCTTTTGAATGGAGGCTTCTGTCGGAGGCTATGATTCAGATACTGTAGTATTCAGTCTGAAGGATCATAGGAGACTCTTTAAACAACATGAAACACTCCTGATTGAAATGAGTGGCACACTCTCTCACAGCCACATACCAACACAACACAATCTCTCACCCACTCTCAGCCGCACGCTTTGTCCTCCAGACACACACCAAAACACACCAAAACACACTCTGACCTTTTCTTGGTGCAAAAAAATGAGAAACGGCATATTTTCATCCTTCATCTTTTCCCCTCCCTCTCCTCCCCTCCTCCTTCTTCCCTCTCGTCCTGCAGCTCTCTATCTCCTCCTGGCTCTCCTCTCCTGTCACTGTGTCAAGGTCACCTTTAATGTGCTGCACAGTGAAGACGCTCAGAAGACCTGGCTTTAACCAAAACAGCAGCCCTCTAATAATTCACTTACATGAGTGTGAGACGTTGCATCAAATCAGTTCAATATTACACCAAAACATGAATCATGTGAGCCGGCCGGTAGAGCATCTTTTTGGAGTCTTTATCAGCGTCTGACTTTTGATTTAATCAAGGAGTAAAAATGAGGATGGATCAGTTGTTGTTCTGAGAATGTGTAACATTTTGTTTCGATCTGTTTTCTGTTGAGAAAACACTAAAGAGTGGACCGCTTTTCTTAACGCCTCGCTTTTCTTTTTGCAGCTCTGATGGTACGAGCTGAACACTGACCGCTTCCTGCCTGAGGACACCTGCTGCCTGCTGCCCTTCACCATGTCTGGGATGCATGTAAGTGAACGAAAACATGTGTCTTTAATTTATATGAAACAGAAACTCATGACATCGGAGAAACTGGACGTATAGAATAGAAGATTCTTTACTCACATAAAAATAACATGCACCTTGATCTTTGTTGTTAAAGTGACCAGTTGCACTTACATTTGCAGTGATGTCATGTGTGAGGTCATGCTGCTCTGTCTTAATTAAAGGTGGAGTCAGTAGAAATGTTTGTAAACACAACGTTCAAACATGGCCCTCTAGAAGCTCTCACTCACTGCAGGATGTAGTGTGTACATTTACTGCTCGTAGCTACACTGCAAGCTAACTCTCGCTAGCTCAAGCTAACCGCTGGTGTTTGTCACCTTCCTGTCCAACAGGAAGTAGACCAACTCCACGTCCAACACAAGGTTCACCCTCGTTTTAGAACGATCTTTATCCACTTGGTGTTTCTCCTCACTCTCATTATATTTCCTCTTCTTTGCTGCTACGTCCTCGTCCGTCATATTCACCGCTTTGAATCTCGTCCAATCACTGAACTGTATCCACTCCTAAACTCACCTGCTGCGCTGTCATTGGCTGAAGGAAACACACCAGCTCCGCCCACAAACGTCCCGAGTCAACCAGAACAAATCAGAACAGTAAAATGCAGTCAGAGGACAGAGTCTCTGCAGACACAGTCACCACCTCACATGTACGGAGGCCCAGAAGGGACAATGGAGCAGCTTTAATTTAGGAGAAGTCTGGATTTTATTTTGAAGGAAAAAGCTCTGCACTAAAGGTTAACTAACACACATGCACACACACAGCAGAGTGTGTGCATGACATCAGCTCATGTAGTGATGTATTCATGCACAGAGCTGCTCTGGACTCATCCATCAAAGTATCAGGTGGTTCCATTTCAGCCGGCTGTCTCAGAGGTTTAACTAATGCTTCTCAAATGTTGGCTTCAGAGTGGGATTACTTCCTGTGCTGCTGCATCATAATCTGCCTGCACGCGTCCTTATTGATCCGGATGGTTCTTATCTGTCACACCCCGGTGCTTCACTACAGTCAGACACACTATCTGAAGAGGTCACATTTCACAGATCACACCAACACACTAAAGCTGAGCTCTGACTTAATATCTTTAATCTTTCATAAGTTAATTTACATGAAACAGATAATTCTGTTTCCCTGCACACGAGAGAGTGAACATCACGCATCGATTTATTCTGTTAATGTTTTGTTTGGAGGTTTTCTTTGTTTTTAACTGTGAATCTAAAGCTTTATTCAAACAGGATTCAAATCAACCAGGTGACCTCTGGTCGTTTGTACCAACTGTGGAGGACGTTTGTGTTTTTAATCCTGTGTGAATCCAACATTTCTGTAATTTGTAAAGAAAAAATGAATTTACCGACCGCGTTTAAACACACACACACACACACACACACACACACACACACACACACAACACAGCTCCTCTGATAAAATCTATCCTGTCTGAGTGAGCATCTCACTAATTTGAGGCGGTATTCTTTTTTTAAAGGTTTCTAAGGTTTTTGTCCGCTTAAAATAATGGAAACATTTTAGCTGAAAATGTAGCCAACTCATCTCGTGCCACAGAACAGAGACCGATATTAAGAAGGAGCAACACTAAACTCCATCAGAAGAACCAGCTCGTTGTTTGTTGAAGTGTACCGGGTGTGGAGTCGAGGCCGTTACCATGCAGCGCCTTAACATGTTCAATCAGAAATGTCTGTAAACAGGAAGTGAACTACAGGCTTCACTTAAGCCGTGTGAATGCTCCACAGTCCACACCAAACACTCACATTGGGGGGTACACTCCAAAATTCCCAGAGGGTCCCCAGGTGACACATACCCCGAGCAGACAGGGTTTAAAAATAAACTAATAATTCTCTCTCTCCCCGTCTTATAACTGTATTTGACCCGCCGTGGTTTACAGCTACATTAATACACCATGGGTCAGTGAGCTTCTGGCTTTAGATTGATTATGTCTCTACTTTAACACATCCAGTCTCTGGAGGTCTGGAGGTCACATCACAGTCTTGATGCAGAATTATTTTGTGGGGCAGCAGTGTGACCTGTCGGTAATGTTACAAACCTCAGACCAAAAGGCCTCCATCGGCATCAAACCATCAGCTGAAAAAACCCAGGATGAGGTTCGTAACCCGGGTACTCACGTCCATGTAAACGCACACTCAGCATGGTTTAATGGACCGTCCTTCTTCTGCTGTGGGCCTCGCTCTCTCAGGACATGCTGAGATGTAGACGTGTGATGTTCTAGTTTTACCAGATCAAGTTTAATCTCATAATCATTTCACGCAAAAGAAAAAATAATAGAAGACATAATAGTTGCATTAACTCTTTGATTTTTCACAAACATATGACTATTTGAAAATTTAAAAATCATGACCACCCGGCCAAAATATGACACATAGAGCAGGGAGGTGAGAACACACTGCTCTCATTCAGAGTGAGAAGCCAAGGTGAGAAAATCAGTTTTAAGACTAGATTTAAAAACAGGCAGTGCAGGGTGGCCAACCTGATGGGAGAGGTCCATTTAGCTAAATAAGCAGGGCCGCCTCTGGTCTTCAGCAGAGACTTTGGACAGGCTAAAATAAAAAAGAAAAACGGTCATCGGCTCTCAGTGATGTCGACGGGTTGTAGGGCTGCAAAACCTCTGAAATATTTTGTGTCTCTGCCCCACGTACAGATTTAAAAACAAATAGTAACATTTTAAAATGAATCAGGCAGCCAGTGAATGGAGGCGGAGATTTGCTGCTTCCCTGTGTCTGTTAAAAGACGAGCTGCAGCACTTTGGACCAACTGTAAGCGAGGAAGAGGACGCCTGACTAACGCCAACATAGAGGTCATTGAAGTAGTCCAGATGGGTCGGGATAAAAGCTTGAATCAAGGCCCGATCACTCAGAACCGTGCCGCTAGAAAAGCGCAGCCAGCAGAACCATTGTTTCAGGGTGCGGTCACACTGGCCAACTGTACCGTGCTGTACTCAAGCATGATTGGGCCCCCCGCTGCTCCATTCCCATGCTAGCCAGCACGGCCCGCGGTCACACTGCACAGGACTAACTGTGCTTTAGCACGATTACCTCTTGTGCATAACGTCGTAATACAACACATGCATGCTTCATGTTATTATGAGAGAGAGAGAGAGAGAACGGATGGCCAGTGTGACCGCGGTCTATGTTACAGCGTACAGAGAGCTTTATGTTTGCTCAAATCCGTTTTGTCCCACTTATTTCATTTGGTCGTCCGTATGCACACGCAGTCCCTCTCCACAGGTTCTCTGGAGGGTTTTCTCACATGCGCTCAGGTGTTTCTGCAGCGGCCTCACAGGATGCATCGCGTCTTCGTTTGATCAAAAAAACACTAAAAGATTAAAAAAAGACTAAACCTTGGATGAAAGCCGGAGCTGGTGAGAACTAGATTTAACAGTGGGATGTATGTTTGTCCACTTTAATGACGGTGAAGAGATGAGGTTTCCTCCAGTCCCAGTCGTCTCCACTCGTCTGAAGTCATCATGTGTTATTGAGTGAGGCTGACACATCCAGCTGTATTGTGTGATGTCAGGAATAAAGCAGCTTCAACAAGGAGATACTCGCTCACTCACACCTGCTGCTTTGTACTCGGCTCGCTCATTTCATCTCATTCATTCTTCTGTCTGTGTTTTTGATCACACAGCTGTGCAGATCTGACAGCGAACACACAAAGCAACCTTCTGCATTCCTTTTTAAATATGAGGAGCTGCAGCGCTCGCACTGCCTGACAGAGAGCGGCGCTGGCCTTTCAATGAAAATCAAGTCATAAAAAAATCTGAATCTCTGTCACATCGCTGTGAATAACGTTGGTTCCTCTCTCTGTCCTGTGTGATGTAGGTACCCTGGACGACTGGCACAGAGTGTGTAGCCAAGTACAACTTCCAGACCGCCAACGAACAGGACCTGCCTTTCTGTAAAGGAGATGTACTCACCATTATCGGAGTCACCAGGGTAAGATATTCCAAAATGAAATATAGAAACTGATCATTATACTGCTTACTAAGGTTCTTCAAGTGCAACAGGGCATGACTAAATCAGCCAAAACCTGCATGACAAAAGTGATGAAAGTGATGAATATGAACCCCCTAAGGGACCACAGGTGAGGGTTGGAACGAAGATCGACCAGTAAATCGAGATCTTCAGGCTCACGATGGGGCGATATAACGCCCGGATTACTGCAGACGCTGAACCACACCGCCTGTCAATCTCACGCTCCATCTTACCCTCACTCATTAACACGATGAGGGGGTGGGTGGGTGGATGGATGAGTGGGTGGATGAGTGGATGGATCGGTGGATGGATGGATGGGTGTGTCATATTTTATGTGTAGCAGCACAGCCACAAAGAGCCCAGCAAATGAGCGAACCAACAGGATTGATTGTTAGAGTGAAATGTTTTGCACGGTAATACAGCAATTAAAAAAATAATAAAGCCAAGAACCAGGTATGGATGGATGAGTGGATGGATGGATGAGTGGGTGGATCGGTGGGTGGATGGATGGGTGGATGGGTGGATCGGTGGGTGGGTGGGTGGATGGATGGATGGGAGAAATGTTCTTTACAATAAAACAAAAAAAACATTTATTTCATTCAAACACAAAGGTGAGAATAGTAGAAGCAGTGTTCACCAGTATAAATCTGTAGATCACTAATCCAACATCTACACCTCTTGAGCGTGTTGAGAGAGGGACACCTCACCTCCCGGACGACTTGGTAACACCCCTCCATTTGTTTATTTTGTGTTTGTCTCTTTCAGGATCCCAACTGGTACAAAGCGAGGAACACAGTGGGCAGAGAGGGCACCATTCCAGCCAACTACGTCCAGAAAAGGGAAGGAGTCAAATCAGGAGGGAAACTCAGTCTTATGCCGTAAGTACCACAAAGAAGAAGAGAAACCAGCAGATCTGTGTGTCTGCATGTGCATCTTACAGTTCATGTTCAAAGCAGCAGAACTGAAAGCATCACATTCCGTATTTCATATCTTTTACATTTCCACACGAGCTCTTCCTCCGTCTTAGATTTCGTCAACAAGTCGTTGAATCCCCCCGTTCACTTGGGCCCCCCCGCTGTGAGGGGAATTGTAGTGTTGATTGTAAAAGTCAGCCGTGGCATCAAAAGATGGAAATCCCTTCTGTTTTGTTGTTTTGTTGTTTCCTCTTGTCTGTGTCGGACTGCCACAGAGGCCAGGACAGCTGTGCACTCCATTTGAATGAAGCTCTTTGAAACAGCAGCGATCTGAAAGAGAGGAAAACAAAACGAGAGGCGGGCGCGCAAAATGAAAGGAGACAGGAGAGGCTGCTGCTGCTGAATCCCCATAGCATAGTTATGAGGTTGTTGTCATTTGAGGTTTTGTTGTGTATCCCTCAAGTGATGACAATCAAGAGTTTAACATTTGAAATGTAGAATAAGAAGAAGAAGAGGAGGAGGAGGAGGGAAAAGTGGTGCTCGCTGTCCTGAAACTAACCCAACAGCTTTTGATGAAGCCTGTCAGTATTTCTAGTATTTTACTTTCACAGAGTGTCCCAACTGCAGCCCCCATCGTTACCATGGCAACCAACTACAACTTGCCTGATAGTCTTTAAGCACAGTGTAAAATGACTACAGGCACTGAGCCCCAGTTGGAGCCACCCCAGTCCTAAACGTCTGGACACGCCCCTGCTTGAGAATCTCTGCTTTTTGAACTCAACTACATAAAAACATCCATGGAGAAGAGAAAGTCGTTACACCCCCGAAGTGAGAGTGCATTTCTCAAACACAGATCAGTCCGAGAATGACTCTTCAGGGTGTCATTATGTTCAGCTGAGCGGTGCTCGCAGAGACGACGGGCCGCTCAGTGTTAGCAGCAGCAGCTTGTTGGCAGGAAACATTTAAATAGACTTTTGACTCTCTGTGTCTCCCTTCATCGGCTGCTGCTGAAAGCTCTGACCTCTCCGTTTGCCACCAATCATACTGCCTGTCTTCACCGGTTTAAACCTGGTCTCAGGGTCATTGAGCTCTGGCATGTTGTAGTGTGTGTGTGTGTGTGTGTGTGTGTGTGTGTGATCTCTGAAAAGTCCCAGTGGTTAACTTTAAATACGCCCTGTGCTATGACTATGACATTATGCAAACACACAGCAGTATAACTCTTTGCTGAGGCTCTTCTTAGATTAAACTTTACTGAGAGATATTTCATGTTTTCATATCATCATAAATACTAACATGTCCTCTTTAACAAACTCTTGTCAGGGTGTGCTTTCCTCTCTTTTCTTGAGAGAGAGAGAGAAGAAAAATGCAAATTATGAACATTTGATTGCTGTTATAAGTCACTGCAGAAGAAGTCAACCCTGACAGTAATCAAACTGAGGCTTCACTTCAAGTTTCCATGACATGCAAAGTAGAGCTTTTTGATTCTGCTTCTCTTCATGTCACATGTTAAAGGCGGGGTTGGTCATTTCCTTTGAGATACATTTAATAAGATTCTGGTTGAAATTGTCTTTAGGTCCTGACAGAAACTAATAACTCATGTTCTCTGAAAATGGGACAAAGAAAATCCATCATCTGTATCAGTTTGTAAGTCTGTAAAAACTTCAACCAATGTCTGCCACGAGGTACCAATCTGATGAACCAATCAGACGCCTCCCTGTCTCCCTGCTCACTCTCTACCTCTTGTGTGCTCTAGCTCACACTCAAAGCTCGTCACCGATGACTTTAGGAGTTTAAACTGTGAGTTTACTGACCGCTGAATGAGACATGAGACGACGTAGTTTCTACACAATGTAAGAGATGAGCTGAGGTCATGTAAGTGAGGGGGCGTGGCTTATGAGGGAGCACAGAGGGGAGGGGGTGCAGATGGAGCACTGAGGGAATGCTACTTTCAAAATCATGCTATTTTTTTTTTAAATTACCAACCCTGAGTTTAATGTAAGAAGCCGGGGACCTTCATTTGAATGCTTACCGTAAATTTACTGTAACCAACGGCCATGAACGGGAGAACATGCGTCTTGATGATTACTAACCAAAGCTACCTGGTGTACGTCCTGTGAGAACGGAGACAGCATTTCATTGGCTGCAGGATTTGTGGATCAGTCAGAATTTGAGTCATTAGTCGATATCATTTCTATGTTTCCAAGGAAATGGGCGTTTTGTGTACCCACATATTGTCTTTATTATTGGCTTGATTCTGGTGTTCGGTTGATATCAGTCCAAGACGTCGTGATGAAAATGTGATTTAGAGACATCATAAATCTCTGCTTTGATTTCATCTGACCTTTAAAAGAATGAATGGACTCCTGACTCGCTGACCTCGAAGTCGTTGTCTTTTTCATATCCCTCATGTCATCAGAAGTCGTTCCTCTGGAGCCGTTAGCTGTAACCTTCAGGGACTTGTTGATTTTGTTTTTTGAAGTGAATCACTAACAGATGTCTCAGAGAAGAGCTCTCTCCCTCTGCTCTGAGTTACATAAAGGTTCAGCTGTGCTCTTCTGTCTCCATGCTCACCCTGACCAGCTGAGACTCAGCAGCATTATGCAGCCTGCGCAGTCTGCTGCCCCCTTGTGGCAGATATCTGCAAGACCCTGCAGCACCACCCCCTTAAGAAGCTGGGGCATTCAAAAACGTACCGCCCTATTTCCTGTTGTCCACTCCAAGATGCTAACTGCATTTTTGGGCCTTTTTTCTGTCACTATGATGTCATGCATGAAGATTGTAGATAATTGCCGTTCACAGAGCAGCTAGTGTGTCCATTAAAAGGCCGATGTGTGTGTCTCTGGGGCGAGCGAGCTTGGCACCCGCTCTCGGATTAGTAGGAGTCAAGGAGGCGCAGAAGCTGCCTGCACTGATCTAATCAACATGACCCGTATTAAGCTGCCCGCCACGAGGACCTCTGCTGTCTCAGGAGGCTGAGGAAGATGAGGAGGAGGAGGAGGAGGAGGAGGAGGAGGAGAGAGTGACGGAGGAGGAGGAATAGATGGAGGAGGAGGGAGTGATGGAGGAGGAGAGAGTGATGGAGGAGGAGGAATAGATGGAGGAGGAGGGAGTGATGAGGAGGAGAGAGTGATGGAGGAGGAGGAATAGATGGAGGAGGAGGGAGTGATGAGGAGGAGAGAGTGATGGAGGAGGAGGAATAGATGGAGGAGGAGGGAGTGATGGAGGAGGAGGAATAGATGGAGGAGGAGGGAGTGATGAGGAGGAGAGAGTGATGGAGGAGGAGGAATAGATGGAGGAGGAGGGAGTGATGGAGGAGGAGGAATAGATGGAGGAGGAGGGGGAGTGATGGAGGAGGAGGAATAGATGGAGGAGGATAGAGACGCTGTGAGCTGCTTCAGCAGCTGTTACGAGCTTTCACACCCAGAACGATATGAAATGATCGAATAGTGAGATGACATCATCGCTTGTCTAAGGGCTGAACCTCCGGCACCTTCTCATTAAAATGATCCAGCTGATCAGGACGCTCTGAGCATCTCATATCAGACGTTTTCCAGACATTTGGACCCAGTGGAGACCCCCGTCATAGAGTCAAGTTTTGATACTTATTATGTAAACTGCTGTTTTAATTGATGTGTTCATGACGTTATGAAGTGTATCTGTCCTCGGTTTGTCTGTGATTGTATTTTATGTTCTTCACTGATTTTTTTGCATCCTATTTGGCCTCAAGATTAGGTTGTTCCTAGCAGACCGGTCTTAAGGCAGTGATTCCCAAAGTGGGGCCTTTAAGACCCTTTGGGGTCCCGAGGTCATGACAGTTGGGTGGAGCAAAGCTAAATAAAAACGATCCACTCAGCAAAGAACGTTTTGTGAGGGGACTACGGGGTAAATGTTCGGCTAACAGCGAATCTACAGCAGACGTCACAACTACTAAAACAAAGACACAAAAATACGATGAGTCATGTCTCGCCCACACCTTCACCTGAACAACGCTGGGTAATAAGTAGAGCCACACACTTCCTGTTGCAACATCCTACCTGTGTGTCGGTCTGATGTTGAGTGTGGCTAACATTAGCATTGCTAGCACCACCAGCTGTATGTCCTTCATGCAGTTTTAACATGCCTGGACTGAATGTGGTCAGTTCATCCTGACGCAGCTGCTCCTGTGTTGGTTTACATCGGGGGAGTCGAGCGAGGAGAGCTCGCCCGTTAACCGGAGCTACAGCCCCAGCTAGTGGCAGCATGACCACTACATGAACATTACATTTGAGCAGCATTGTGAGTTTTGTTTAGTAAACTTATCTCTACTCAGAACCCCTCACAGGAGCAGGAAAACACTGCAGCGGTAGAAGGGTGGCAAGACACACCGCCTCAGACTGCTGCAGCTTCATCCTGACCCCCAGAGAGGCAGACGTCAACGGGTGGATGTTAAAGACAGCTGCACACAGATGTTCAGAAACATGGATAGTGTTATGATGTAAGATCCATGCACAGAAACCAGGGTAAGATTGAAATCCAGGAATCTGGTTTGCATGCGATGGCGCTCCGAGTAATGCAGCCGTCTAATCCATCCATTAGCAGCCTATAGCTGCATCCAGAAGGCCATATGGTGAGGGTGAGGCGGGGTCATACATCACGCTTTGAGATGAAGGATGAGGATTTATATTTTCTCCGAGTATGGCCGGCTTTTTAGCTTAGCTTCATCCTGAGTTTATATGATTATTTATGTCCATCTTCTGGTCCTCCCTGTAGGAGTGGGTGACCTGTTTCTGTTCGACCCGACGCCTCGTCTGAGCAGTTTTTGCACTTTCCTGTTATTGCAGTGGCTGTGTGTCGGTTTCCTACTCTGCCTCAGGCTTTTCCGTGTGTGTGTGTGTTGTGTGTGTTGTGTGTGTTGTGTTTGTGTGTGTGTGTGTGTGTGTGTGTGTCTGCTCCACGCTTCCTGTTGTTTGGGTTCAGGTACTTTTTCAACGGCCCTGCACCGCTCGAGCTGAACGGACTGGAAGTGCTGCTGCCAGCTTCCCATCACCTCACTCTCTTGTTTTCCACTTCCTGTTTCAGGGGAAGTGTTGTGGGCTGTGATACATGGAAGAGGATCTTTATACATGATTACAATAATAAGAATACATTGGGCTCATATAGCGCTCTTCTGAATCCTGAAGAAACACATACATGAACCCATATCCACCTCTTTCTGTATCATTTCCCTCTTAACTTTTCTCCTGTCACATCTTTCTTTGTAGATGGTTTCATGGGAAGATAACTCGGGAGCAGGCCGAGCGGCTCCTCTACCCTCCTGAGACGGGTTTGTTCCTGGTGAGGGAGAGCACCAACTACCCCGGCGACTACACCCTGTGCGTCAGCTGTGATGGCAAGGTGGAGCACTACCGCATCATCTACCACAACGGCAAGCTCACCATCGACGAGGAGGAGTACTTTGAGAACCTCATGCAGCTGGTCGAGGTGAGGGACGGCAGAAAACAAAAGGCTGTAACCTTCTTAAAGGTCCAATCAGTGAGATGTGTAGTTTGAAATGATAAAGGTATCTTACTCTCTGATCATTAAGGAAACATGCTATGTTGAAGTGCTGGCTTCTCTGACAACAATGCAGCAGCCAGTATGTCCTCCTTCTAACTTTAGATTCTGCTCCTGAATGCTCTGGATTTGTTTGGACCAGAGAAGGTAGGCGCTTTTAAGACCCCCCACACGGCCGTTTTGGACGCCCCTCGATTTGTCAGATATGAGAGCAGTTATCAGGTCAACAGGTGTTGCAGCGATGGAAGCGGTCAAGAGAAGTGGTTCAGATAGAAGTGATTGTACCCGACCTAAAAAGCCTCTGCATGTTTCTAATAAGCTCCACGAGCAGAAACGTGCTCAAACTAGGATCAATATTGGAGATGCTTTTGAAAAATGGAGAGAGGTTAGAACACAGAAAGGTTTACAGACCCATGCAGAGCTGGATAAACACTGAAGCTTCAGAGTCCACCACATGGTGACCTGAGTGAGCATCAAATATGTATGCCAGTATTTACAGTTAATGAAGTGACATCTTGCTTCAGTGTGATCAGTCATGCAGCAGTATGATTACATAATCCCCCACACACACACACACACACACACACACACACACACACACACACACACACACACACACACACACCAACTTCAGCGTGACCACAGTGAAAATGAGACTCGAGTACATGTTCCCAGTCTTCAGAAAGCCGTCTGATCCTCTCACTCGCCGCCTGATATCTGAAAGCCGGTTCAGGAGGAGGACAGAGTGGGGAGAGGGGAAGACAGGAGACATGATGACAGAGAGAGAGAGAGAGAGACCTCTCATCCTCTCAGATAGAGAGACGAGCTGGATTGGCGGCTATCACACTTCTAATTGGACCTCGTCTCTGTGCCTCGCGGGGCGTTGGAAGTGGACGACAGGATTGTGCCAGCTGGCTCCAAAACCATCTACATCCCCAGAGAGCATTTATCAATCTCTCTCTCTCTCTCTCTCTCTCTCTCTCTCTCTCTCTCTCTCTCTCTCTCTCTCTCTCTCTCTCTCTCTCCATCTCTTTCTCTTTATGGTCCCTCATGTATACCTGACATTTTCGTTTTTTTCCCGCCCTTCCTCTCGTTGTTATACATCCTCCTAACCTCTTAACTGTCTCTCCATCTTTCTCCATTTTAATTCTCTCTATATCTTCATCCTCCCCCCGCCTCTATTCCCCTGTGTCCTCTCTCTCGCCCTCGCTCTCTCGCTCTCTCTCTTTCTCTCTCTCTCTCTCTCTCTCTCTATTATAGCCCATGACAAGATTCCTCACATTCTTGAGTGTTTTTCTGTCTTGCTCATGGTTCCCCTGCTCCTACTGGCCTGTCACAGCAGGCTCCACACACACACACACACACACACACACACACACACACACACACACACACACACACACATATATACACAGCTCATATTTACTATATGTGTTAGTGTACAGTGACAGGCCCAGGTCTCCATTCTGTCATTAAATCCCCCCTCAGTGATCTTCTGTGTAACAGTCACATGATGTGAGGTGACACAAACGGGACTCTGTTGTTTTCACAAGATGAAGTATTTTCAGATACCATGCTCGTTCTTTATTTTTTGCTTTGTGGTTAGTAGAGGTGGTGAAAGTTAATCAAAGGTGTGTGACTCTGTTAACAGAGACGTTAAGGTCATGTATAAAATAAATATATTAAAAAAAATGATGTTGAAAATCTTCATATTATTGACACTTTCTATTATTGCAAGAACGGGACTTTCAAAATGACAAAGCGCTCTCCTCAGATCCCAAAAACGTTCAGAGTTCAAAGAAAAAGTGATGCAACAGAGCGGTGAACACATCGCTGTCCCAACTTCTTGGAAACACGTCGCTGACATCAGATCCAAAAGGGGATTTATTTCCTGACTGGCATTTCTCAGTTTCCACATTTGATATGTTTTCTTTTTTCTATTTGTCATTCAATAAGTTGATTCATGTTTTTACAAATCACCAGAATGCTCTTATTATTTACATTTAAATCAGCAGCCCAGCTCTTTTTGAAACATTGCTGTAGCTTTAAAGTGTTAAACAGGAAGTCAGTATGAAGCATTCAGGCCTCAGTGTCCATTAACAGATGAGATCAGATGTCTTGATGGAGTACTTGTAGTTGGATAGAGAAGGGCGTGCTGCTGCTGCTGCTGCTGTTTTGTCTGTTTTGTCTGTGCTGAATAAGCTGACCCTTCCTTCCCCATGCTGCCCTCTGGTGGTCATCACACACACTTGCATCCTTGCTGCAGTTTCATAACAACACTGGCTTTGTTGTCGGTTGAGTAGATTCTTCTTCTGCTGTTTTTTTTTTTTTAGATTGATGTGAACTGAGACGCTGATTCACGGATTGGCTCACACATTAACCTCCTTTTTTTAAGATTCATTTTCTTTCTCTCTTTGGGTTATGAAATATCTATTTTTTAAGACGATGAGCCGATACTGACGGGGTTCGGGGTTTGTTGGCTGCGTTTCTGGAGGTGAACATCAGACACGGTGACCTTTAACCTCCTCCCACACACTCCTCGTCTGCTGCTGGTTCCCACAGCAAACACTCACACCTCCCATCAGTGGAGCTCATCTCCATCCTCACACTCCACATGCTGCCACTCTTCAGCTCGGTGAATGTATGATTGCTGCACAGATGAGGCGTTTATTCTCTCCTCCTCGGCTTGTTTGTGTTCAAACGAGACATCAGAACTCTCCTGTGACGAATGGAAAGAAGGCAGGGGGTTCTGTTTTCTCCCTGCAGACATACGCTTTCTCTCGTTTGTGAAAGTGAAGATCCCACTGATAACCCATTCATGTTAAAAAGATGGATCCTCCTCACATCCTCTCCCGTTACCGCAGCCTGGATTTTTCTTTTCATCGCTACCTTCACGCTCCTTTTGCAAAGTGTTGCAGCGTGCGTTCATTTAACATATCAAAAGCCTTCAGATAACATCTATCCACATCAGTCCCCGATCATTCATCGAGGTCAGAAGTCACAGTTACACAGAGACAACATGCTTTTCTTCAAGGGGGGGAGGGGAGTTAAATTTATAAAGATTTAAAACAATCCTGCAACAACTACCGTGCATTACTCTGCTGTTTGAGCTCACTTTGTCATCACTTTGTCATTTAGCACCAGAACCTTTTCTTTTTTTTAATCTATGCACTCTCCTCTGTTTTAAAACCAGCATGAGGCGACCTCACGGGGTCAACAACAACAACCCACAAGTTTACCCAATAAAACACATCATACACCCAACCAAAGTCAGAATGAAGGAATATTTATAGATAGATAGATAGGTAGATACTTTATTGATCCAGAGGGAAATTCAAAGCATCCAGTAGCAGGTTACAAAGACATGACATGAAACATTTGTTACAAATTAACCACAAAACCGACCCCCCCCCCCCCCTCCCCCTCCCATACATATATATTAACCTGAAAAAAAGATTTAAAGAATACCCCTAGATGAATCAAATTTTTTTTTAGAAATGTTTAAAAAGAAGAAAATTATCAAAAACAGACATTAAATAACAGTCAGTGCAAACATTAAAGGTGCAATTAAAATAATTGTGAGGTTGGCTTTAAAGTGTCCAACTAGAGGATGACTCTTGGGACAGCTGTGCAGATGGGAAATGGAAAAAAGATTTACCACTCAAAAAGAACTGAATACTGTCGTTAAAAAAAGTCAACAAAGGAGTAAATCAACACACACTCCCTGACTGAGAGGCAACACGCTGAAGTCCAAAAAGCTTCTCTCCTCCAAGACAACAAGAGGGGAGAAGGGAACAACAAAGAGCCGAAACACTGAGCTCACTGGTGTCAATGTACAAATTAATATCAGAATCAGAAATTCTTTATCAATCCCAGGGAGAAATTCAGTTGTTACAGTCGCTCTCCTCTTTGAGTCTGCTTAAGATTAGAATATTATTTCACCAGAATAAACATTACATGCCTTTTGTACTGTTAAAATGTTCAATGCTTGGTCGTTATGTCCTGAATTCTTCCTGTCCTGCATGTTCACACATACCTCTAAACACCCCGGTCAGAGGAGAGGATATTAACGCTCTGTGTTACTGAACATGTCGCGTTGAAGAGTTTACCTGTAAGCAGAAAACAAAAAGAAGCAGCTTCACTAAATGCACGACACACCCGATCACATCTGATGTGATGTAAACCTTGTCTCGCTTGTGTTGAATCTTCCAGGATATTTCCTGCTATGTGCACACATCAGCTCACCCCGACGTCACAGGAAAATCTTAACTGTTAGGAAAAAAGTCCAGATAAAATCAGGATGAAAGATTTAGCTGTTTGCGTTCACACATGATGCTCACGTCTGAATATTTCAGGAACATTTTCTGAAGTTTTGTGTTTGAACAACAGACACAGAATATGATGGACGAGTGAGGTGAAAATAAAACAGCTTCAAACTTTTGACCGTACACTTCATGGAAACATGAGGTGTTTACGAGGTCATTTACGAGACTTGAATAAAAAATGTAACTCTCTCTCTCTCTCTCTCTCTCTCTCTCTCTCTCTCTCTCTCTCGCCCTCTCTCTCTCTCTGTGTGTCCTCAGCATTACACCAAAGATGCTGACGGCCTTTGCACCAGGCTCATCAAACCCAAGCTGATGGAGGGGACGGTGGCAGCTCAGGACGAGTTCTCCAGGAGTAAGAACACACTGAGCTCATTACGCCGCTCTGCAGGGAAACTAGCTGCACACACACACACACACACACACACACACTGTGCTCGTGTTTGTTTACAGTCACATTAACCTCACAAAGCATAAAGTAGCCATGGCCTGTGTCTCATCCCAGGCCTAATAGCATTATTTAATCAACGGAGGAGGGTAATTAATCTTTGTGTGTCTGGGGACGACTGCTGGGCGTCATCAGTCCTCAAAGGTCAATCCGTCTTCCTCCACCTCTGTCGATTTTTAATTTCCCTCCGTGTTCCCGTCTGACCCGGCTGAGAGGACTGAGAAGGATGCATGTTGTGATGCATGTGTTTCCCTAAAGTTTTAAGGGTTTGTGCTGGATTGTCCTTGACTTGTGAACTCTGCTCACTGTTCCTTGTCCTGTCCCGGCAGGCGGCTGGGCTCTGAACAGGAAGGAGCTGAAACTTCTGCAGACCATCGGCAAAGGGGAGTTTGGAGGTGAGGAAACGTTGTCTTGCACGCTTCAATTTCACACTTTAAGCCTTTCAAGCCTTTAACAACGGACTCAAGTCTTGTTGCTTATCGTGCTAAAACGTTCCCCCCGTCTGTGTCCTTGTCAGATGTGATGGTCGGAGACTACAGAGGAACCAAGGTGGCGGTCAAGTGTATCAAAAACGACGCCACGGCGCAGGCTTTCATAGCCGAGGCCTCGGTCATGACGTAAGACTCCTTCACCTTCATCACTTCCTGTTCACCTCCTGTTTGTTCAACTTCTGTCTTCATTAAAAGTCATTATACATCACAGGTTGTATTTTCAAATCAGATTTAAAATGATTGTTTTTACGGTTGTGAAAAAAACAGAGAGACACCTCTGACGGTCACCATCATTAAAATCTGCTTCTGTTTTATTTGTTACAGGCAACTGAGGCACAACAACCTGGTGCAGTTGTTGGGGGTGATAGTGGAAGAGCGAGGCAGTCTCTACATCGTCACAGAGTACATGGCCAAGGTCGGTCTCTCTCTTTTTGTTTCTTTACATGCAGAACTTTGAACCTTTTGTCTTTGTCCGGAGCGGTAACTTCCTCGAGTCTCTGCTGCAAAAAAGTTGCAGAAATCTCAGACGGCCTTCCTGGAAATCATCCGGGCGTCGCTCTTTCACACTTTTCCTTAAAGGTCCTGAAACATTAAGCAGACGGCAAGAAAAAAAGGACGCTGTTTTTACAACATATCCAACATGTCGGACGACACTGTTATGACAGTTTTTATGTAGTCGGTCATATACACAGTGTCAACAGAAGAGTGTAAGAGAACATACCTGGAAACAGAAAAAAGGAAGAAGCAGCTTCATTCTCTTTTTTTCTATGTGCACCGGTCAGGTGATGTCATCGACATTGTTCCTGCACACTGTTGACCTTTCGGTGACCTGCAGCTCACCATGTAATCTTTAGAAACTTCTCAGGAGTTTTGTGCATGTGTGAAACGGCTTTTCATGTAAACTGAGCCGGTGTGTGAGCAAGGTTTAAACCTGATCTCCCTGAAAGCAAACGAGCATCCTTCTTTCTTTTGATGATGATGTCACAGCTTTGTGTCCTCATGCATGTTGTGTCAATCACCTCGCTCTGTGTCACAGGGCAGCCTGGTGGACTACCTGCGCTCCCGAGGGCGGACCGTGCTCGGTGGAGACTGCTTACTCAAGTTCTCGCTGTGAGTCCTCTTCTTGCTCTCGTTCAGTTTAAGCACTCGTTTTATTTTAAAGAGGAGACAAATGTTTTGAGTGAACACAGATCGGGGTCTCGAGCTGAACCCGCTGCTCTCTCAGCTGTCAGGATGTGAAAAGATTTTCAAAAAAGAGCAGCGTCACGCACTTCACTGGGAACATGAAAGAGCCTCTTTGTTTACACCAGCAGGACGGCAGGAAGTTTGTCTCCATAAAGAGCTGCTTCATCTCAAAGTCAAGACCCTCAAAGTCTTCATTTAGTTTTCTTAGAAGTGATGAATGTGATGATGTTGTGTCAGGATGCAGGTCAACAGGCGTAAATAATCAAAACAACAAGAAAGTTTTTGTCCCTTCATTTCAAACTGATTTATTTTTTGACTTGATAAGAAACTATTAGCAGCATCGATTAATGAGGACATGCACACACCTGTTGTCATCTTCGTCCTCACTCCTGTCTCCCTCCCCGTGCGTCTCTCAGTGACGTGTGTGAAGCCATGGAGTACCTGGAGGCCAACAACTTTGTTCACAGAGACCTGGCGGCTCGCAACGTGCTCGTGTCCGACGACAACATCGCCAAGGTCAGCGACTTCGGCCTCACCAAGGAGGCGTCCTCCATACAGGACACGCCAAGCTGCCCGTCAAGTGGACCTCGCCAGAAGCACTACGAGAGAAGGTGAGAGAGGACAAGGGGCGGGCGGGCGGGCAGCAGACCCGGGCCGATGTGTTTTTGCTCTCTCTGTGTTTGTTTTCATCTCCACCACGATGACATCATGACATCATGACATCAGGACAAACGTTCCTCTCCACTGTCTTTGCTGCGCTCACTGCACAAATAAAGATCGATGTTTTAGATAAAAGCTTGAATCTGTATTTACACATTGTACCGAGCTCATGCTGACTGGATGTCTCGTCATGACTCCACTTCTAAACCCAACGTTTTACTGATCCATTTGTTTAATTTGTGGCCGAAAAATATCTCGTTAAAACTTCTCGTGAGCACATGCACATTTCAAGACCAGATAGATGTTTTATTTTAAGATTTTAAAAGGCCGAAAAATTCAGCCTGAAATGCTCCTAACACCGTTAAGTCAATCAATCGATCTTTATTTGTGTAGCGCCAATTCATGACAAATGTTATCTTGAGACCCTTTAGAGAGAGAGCAGGTAAGAGAGGTTACTCCTTGTTGAGTTAGAAAAGAGAAACGGGATAGGGGGAGACAGGAGAGGATGCAGGAAGAAGGAAAGGGACAAACAGACGGGAGGGGGTGTGTGAAACTATCTGCCAAGGCATCAGCATCAAAATGGACTCACGAGTCTTAAAATACGACATTACATCTCATCTCAGGATGTTTTAAAGAGGACATATTCTCCCCCTCCTCCTCCTTTTCAAACAGTCCCCCTGTGGTCTAAATGAAACATCTGTGCTGTGCTTTGGTCAAAATATAACATGAATCAAGCACTAGAGGAGGTTTGTGACCCTGTAGAAACCAGCTCTCTCAGAACGCTCCGTTTTGGTGTGTGTGTCTCTTTAAATGCAACGAGCCCCCCGAGTTTTCCCGGTTGACATCACTCCTTCACTAGCGAGAATAAAAATGGCAGACCTGCACAAAAGTTTGGCTCTAGGCTGGGGGTGGAGTCCATGGGTGGAGATATCAGGGGAGGGGATTTTTTTTTTTTTTACCAGAATCCCACTGTGACATCACAAGGAGAGCACATTTAAAACAGAGCATTTTTCTCTGTATTGTAAGACTTATGCAGACCACAAACAAAGGACTGGATGGGTTTATTTCACATTTGTGGGTCAGTAGACTCTCAGGTTACCCAAATATATGTTCAGAAACACTGTAGAAGTGGATTTTTCACAATATGTCCCCTTTAATATCTTTGAATAAGAAATGCTTCTGGACCTGTGAGGTAATCAAATCCCTGATCTGATCTGCTCTGCTCCGTGTGCATTTACTTTGAACGTGTGAATCAAAGCTCCCTCTCTCTCTCTCTCTCTCCTCCCCACAGCGGTTTTCCACCAAGTCGGACGTCTGGAGTTACGGAATCCTTCTGTGGGAGATCTACTCCTTCGGGCGCGTGCCTTACCCCAGAATTGTAAGTACCTGAAAAAAATCTAAATTTCCTGGAGCTCACCAGCAGATGGCAGGCTTTATTTTCCAGGAGCTGATGTATTTATTCATCATGTGCACATTGTGTGTTGTGTCTTTCTTTTCTCCTAATTTATTTTGTTCAGAATGAGTAAAAAAAATAATGAGATCGTGCCGTTTGACTGCTGAAGCAGAATACATAATATGAGCTGTAAATGATAAAGTTCATTATTTGTGCACGCTTCATTTCCTGTCCGCTTGCTCTGACCTTTTCCTGACATGTCGAGGTTCAGCCGCTGCATCATCATCTGAATATCGACCTGCATGAGATTGAATAAATAATGAGTTGATACAGCGGCTCTAAAGACGAGATGTTTACAAAGTGCTCTGACAGACGGAGAAAAGGGGCGGGACTTCAGGAACATTTATTGGTCCAAACAGAGTCGTTTAGAAAATGGAAGAAGTAAAGGTCAACAAGAATAACTACAGATGGAAAGAAGTGATAAACCAAAGTAGACGTTAACTTTCTCTCTTTCGTCTCTCAGCCGTTAAAAGAGGTGGTGCCCCGCGTGGAGAAGGGATACAAGATGGACGCCCCCGACGGCTGCCCGCCAGTCGTCTACGACCTGATGAAGCAGTGCTGGACCCTGGACGCCGTGGTGCGGCCCTCCTTCCGCATGCTGAGGGAGAAGCTGCAGCATATCAGAGCCAAGGAGCTCTACCTGTGAAGAGGAGGCCCTTAAGGAGGGGGGGGGGTCGAAGGGGGAGGGGGGGGGCGCGACACAGCCCAGAACAGCATGAGGAAGAGGAGGAGAAGAAGAAGAGGGGACCACTACAGCTTCCTCCTGACTGGGACTGCAAAACTATGCCCCCCTTCCCTCCCAAACTCACATGCCCCGCCCCCTGCTTCCATATAAGGACAGTTTCCTGTTTGTGTTGTAAAGCTTTTTGCCGGACAGTTTCCTCCTCTCTCGGTGGGCCACTGCTCCTTCGTCCTTCTTAACCTGCCGCTGCTCTCCTGCTCTCCCTCTCTGTCTCCAAACTCCCTTTTCTTTCTCTCTCTCTCTTTCTTTTTTTTCCTCCCCTCCTCCTCTCCTGAACACGGCATTAACTCGAGGGGAGGCTGGCCTTTTCCTCCACGATTGTCAGGTGCTCTTTCTCTCCCCCCCCCCCCCATCATTCCCGGATCTCTTTGTCACCATGTTGATCTGCATGAATTCATCTCTCCGTCATTCCCCCCTCCCCCCCTCCCCCCTCCCTCGGTGTGGTGTCAGGTGTGGGGCCTTCGCTCTGTGCCAAAGTGCCTCCAGTCTACAGAGCTCCGGACTTCCCTCCAGCAAATTCTCTCAACTGGACTGTTGTTTATTTTTTTTTTTATGACCTTTTTTTAAGAAATCTTTTTTTTTTTATAGTTTTCTTCATTTTCAGGGAGGTTTTCAAACTTTTGCTTTTTTTAGTGCCGTCTCTCCCCCCCCCCCCCAAACCTCCGCCATCACTCCATCAGAATGTTTTTTTGTTTTTGTTCTGCCAAGTGTCCATGAACTGGAAGAGAGGATTTGGTGGCCAGTATCATGTTCATCCCCGATGAGAGGTGATGTGAGGAGGGGGAGGGGGGGGATACAGGACAATAACAGGAGGAGGAGGAGAAGGGGGAGAAGGAGTTCACAAACATGGTCAAATCATCATACGTGGGCTTGTTTTTATATCAAAATATATTTAAAGGATTAAAAAAAAAAGAAGAAAACTGACTGAAACAAAACGAGAAGGACTTTGAGGAGCCGGGAGCGCGTTGGCGTGAGGAACGATCAGTGTCTCTGAGAACGCTGGGGTCGGGTTGGTGCATGCTGTGTGTGAGAGGCCTTGGGTTCAACTGTCAGTGCTTTCAATGTTCATTGTTTTATTATGCTATCATGATTACGAATAAATCATTCCATCTGAACAGAGCGGGAACAAGAGCATCATTGTGTGTGTGTGTGTGTGTGTGTGAATGCCTGCATAGACTGTTCACAAAAAGCCAAAATATCGCCGTTGTTAGGACCCCTACATCAAACTCAGGGTTGGTAATTTTCTAAACTAGCATGATTTTGAAAGTAGCATTCCCTCAGTGCCCGTCTGCACCCCCTCCCCTGTGGTCCCTCTAAAGCCACGCCCCCTCACTTACATGCACGAGCGCTGTTGCTCCAGAAGCGTACCTCAGCTCATCTTTTGCATTGTTTTGACAAACTGTTACATTGCGCCCAGCTGTCAATCAGGTTAGCTACGCCCCTAATTATGGATAACCCGTTACGTCGGAGCCGTTAAAAACAATTAACCCCCCCGTACAGTGTGTGTCCGTAATGACGATTACTAATCAGACTATTTTGTTTTTTAAACCAGGCTATAAACTTGTTTATTTCTGCAGTAAAAACAGGCTTTTTTGAAAGGGTGTGTATGTGACTTCCTGTGCTTCTGGAGTCGGCCTCTAGTGGACACTCGATGAACTGCAGGATTTTACACTTCAGCATCGGCTTCATTTTTCAACACCGGATGTTGCCGCTTGGTTCTGACACATAAAACCTACCGATTAAATGTCAAAGATCCCTCGAGGGTAAAGTCTGAAGTGGGACAGATTATTGTGTCAGTTTGAAGCTGATGATTCAACACCTCCTGTGTCCGAGTTGATGTTTACTCTCTTGTGTTTCTCTTCGACTCTGCTAATCCAGTGCAAACAACGATGCAGGAGCTCTGTGAGCAGAGCTGTCAATCATGACATCACGCCCTTTTTGAAAGCATCCAATCACCAATTAAAACTAAAGTTCTCAGAAGACTGAATCCTGGGACATAAATCAGCAGTAGTGTGTTGGCTTCACTTTTTATGCCGTGCCGTGCATCTTTTTATGCATTCCCCTCTTTCTATATGTGAAGCATTCTCCTCGTGTGAGCGTGTGAGTCACATGCAGTCTATGGATTTACAAATGACATCTCAGGGAGTGCACATTGGAAATATTCAGCAGAGACCGATGAGTCAGTTGGATGTGTTACACTGGGCGATAATTTTAAATATTGTCAATTAAATCAGCGTTTTAGAGCTCTTCCACAAATCTTCACCCGTCACAGCTCGACGTTCCTCAACAGCATCACCAAATCAAATCAGAGCGAAGAGCCGCGCTCAAGGCTACCCTCGCCATCGTAACTCGACGAGTACATTTTTTTGCCTCACACAGGTTTCAACATGAACATCATAATAACAGATCATCTCAGATTGAAACATGCTTCAGAGTCGTTCATACAATGGGTTCGCAAACCCTCAAATGCCAGAGGCGGGGGACTTTTGAAGACATTTCACGACCCCCCTCCCCCCCTTGGGAACCTCTGGTCAGACATGTTCTTATGTCCAAATTTACATTCAGTGTGCCTGACGTAATCACATTGACTTTTAAGAGCACTAAACTTCATCTCAAGTGAACTTCCTAAGCACCCTGAGCCACAGGGTCGTTTCAGACTCTTCTTATCCCGTTGACCTTGAGGCTCTCTCTGACCTTGACGAGGCTGTAACGGCAGCAGAAGTCATTTAAAGAGACACACACACCAAAACGGAGCGTTCTGAGAGAGCTGGTTTATACAGGGTCACAAACCTCCTCTGGTGCTTGATTCATGTTAGATTTTGACCACAGCACAGATGTTTCATTTAGACCACAGGGGGACTGTTTGAAAAGGTGGAGAAGGGGGATAATATGTCCTCTTTAATGCTACGTGTTATTAAACATATCATCCTGACTTCATGTGGACCTTCTACCAGGGTGCAGGCAAGAAAAAAACTTAAAGCAATGGTGAAACATTGAGACTCATTTTGAGCCTCCCTGTCTCCCTAAATCTGATTTAACAGCCTGAAAGGAGAAAAAAAGTTCTTTGCTTTAACGACTCATCACTTCATGGGGGACCTGTGACAAGGAGCGAGAAAGACTGATGAGAGAAGAAGTGTCTCAGAGCCTGATGTCCTCGCGGCTCTGCGGCTATAAATAATCCTCCCGTGATAATCTTTTGATAGCAGAAGTGCTGCGAACAGGTGGTAAAATGTCAGCACAGCCTTAAAGGTGTGAAGGAGCATCGATGTTATGTCAGCTGACAAGTTTCTGCCGGTTAACAACACGCTGGGATCACTGCGCTGCCGCTCGTCTTTGCAACAGGGTTCACTTAGCCCCGCTGCAGTGACTTACAGGAAGTTCTCCAAGTCACACGCCTGTCCTCTTTACCTCCTCGTCTTATTTGTCTCTGATCTAACATCTTCTGCTGCGGAGAAAACACTTCTTCTTTGTGTTTTCATTGTGATCTCTATGAATTTTAATGACAGTGACACGGCGGCAACAAAGGGGTCGGTTACATAAGCGAGGCGGTTTGTGCTCATGGCCAAGACTGTGCTGCTGTCAGGACCTATCACGCCATCCCCGATATACCATCCTGCTACAGCTGCACGGGATGGGTCTACTGCAAAGACCCCCCCCTCCTGCATCCCCCCCCCCCCCCCAAATGTATTTAGTCTCCTTGAATTGTTGTTCGAAAAGCACAGCTCGTGAGCACAATGGGGCAACATTTGCAAAACTCACCGCCGGGAGGCATCTAACAGTCTTTGCTCTGAGGGGCTTTTAGTCTCAGATGGAAGGGTCAGCGGAAACGGCGTCCTTTATCATCAGTCAAAGGATGCTTCAATGTGATCTTTCGACATATATATCCACATCTTAAACATCCGTCCTGCTGATTTTAAATGTAGCATGTACGACGACGGCTAATGACACATTTTTAAAATGTAAAGCCCTGACTGGAGGTATCACTGTGAAGAGAGCTCATGGTGACAGGAGAGAGAGAGTTAATACGAGGCTCTCACGACTTCTTTCCTTCACACTTAAGTACTCCTGACAGCCGCACAGCTCGGGCGTTCTTAGCACGCACAAGCAGGAGGATTGATGCGTTAATCAGCTTTCGATAAGTTATGGATCTGAGCTACTAAAAAAGAGGCAAAAGTCGACCGCAGCAAATTAGCCCCTGAATTAATCTGATTGCGCCAACACTCTGTATTTTGGGGGCGAGTCAGAAAAAGAAAAGACGCTGAGGGCAACTCGTGTGTTTATCGAGGCGTTTTGCATGTGCGTCGTTCTCTCCCCGGCGTGCCGAGCTGGACCTGTCACGTTCACATGTGTTTGACGGACAGAATGAGGGTGAGGTGGTGAAGAGGACGGTTTCAGGTCATGTTTTTCTTTTATTGTTCATTCATGTGCTGTTGCTATGGTTACATGACGGCGCGGGAACACACTGTGGCTCTGACGTCAGTGGTTTTAGTGATTCCTGTAGCATCCTCGGCCCTGCTTGATATTTTGCTCACAGATGAAATGTTTCCTTTTTTAAGAAACTAACCAGTAAAACCAGTTTGTTATACTGGAGCAGCTCAAGGGGCAGCAAAGCACATGATGACAGTCGAAGTATTTAGATTGTGTCCGAGGTTTATTGGGCCCTAAACCCAAATAAGAGTCCATCAAACCTCTGCATGTTTTCACAACCATTCAGTGTCACTTTCACACTTGCAGAAAACTCCTGATATCTGAAGATGGAGCTGCATGTGTGAACACCAATAGCTTAATTTTCTGACCTCCTCCAGAGTTTCTCCTGCCAGCCCGTTAGTATTTTATCCGAGTGAGCTGATTGGAGAACACAGCAGGATATTCTCCGGGGAATTCACCTCGAGCCAATAGAGCGCCACAGAGTCCTAAAACCCGGAAGTAAGTTAGCATTTGAGCGCCATGGGGTCTAACGTCTAAAAGTCAACGGGGATTTTGAATGTGTTTGTGGTTAGACTCCTGAAATAAGGTCTGTGGTTAACACAAGCTGAAGAGATGTTGGTGTTTTGTTAGAGCACATAAACTACGTTAGGTAATACCTCCACTTGTGAAGTTTGAAGTTTTTACTCGTCTTTAAAAAGGCGGTTGCTAACAAGCGGCTAAATGTGACTACAGTGGTTGTCGGGGACATTAAAGGTCATCACGCCGGACACAGAGGGCGGGAACTCTCTCACTAGTCGGAGATGTCTCCTGTAGGTTTAATCTTTAGGTTCAGGTGAATATTATGTTAGTAAACTATTTATTAAGCTACGTTTATCGGAGATCGTCTGAAGCATAACGCTAGTGACGTCACAATCATCCCACCGTGGTGTAGTTAGCTTTAGCATAACGTTAGCTTTTTACTTCTGTCGGCCGCATTAACTCTTCAAACATCATAAAAATGGCGTTCATCTGTGAAGATTATCCTGCTGAACAAAACGCCTACGCTTCAGAAACGTGTGTTTAACACAGAGATTATTTTTAATGATCCAAAATCCAATGAAAACATCCCAGAGGAGGATTCTCATTAGACCCCATGGAGATGCTACTTCATGTTGGCCTACAAAAATACGTCAAATGGTTTGTTCTCTATAGGAGGAGGAGTGACGTTTATATACTGTTACTGCTGCACGGTGCATAGAGTGTCTGCACGCGACCACTACGACCCCTAACCCTCCTGTCTGACAGGGATAGTCTCCCGCTGTGAGGAACATATGTGAACAGCCAGGTCAGGAGAATCTCCGGAGCAGTCCTTCTGTAATTATGTAGATATTTTTAGGAGTGCATGTGTGAAAACGGCTTGTATGAGCTGATGTTTCTAATATTTTTTAATTTATATTAGTCTGTTTTTAATTGCACAGGTTTCATTTTAACTCCTTTAGGGGGCTTACTTAAATCTTTGTTTGGGGTTAATATGTATAAGGGGGGGGGGGTTGTTTATTTGTAACAAATCTTTCATGTCTTTCATGTCTTTTGTAAACTGCTACTGGATGCTTTTCCCTCAGGATCAATAAAGTATCTATCTATCTATGTGAGAACGCAGCAGGATATAATCAGGAGAATTCCCCTCAAGCGAGTGGGAGGGGGTGGT